CTTTCCCAATTTCTCTCAGGGTTCGTCCTTCTGCCCTCAACCTCATAGAAGTGATTCTTATCCTTGTCATTTCTCTCTACGTTCTTTAATGCTTGTCCCAAGGAGGAACTGGAGAATACTCTCTGACATTACTTACCCATGTGGGATGACATAAACTTGAACTCATCCAGTTACTCTCATGTCTTCAGTAAATACTCCTTGAAGGCAGAGGATTGCCTGGCGATGACTGGGTGTACTGAGTGCTCCTGCTCTGGTCAGTCTCAGAGGCTGGTTTGGGGCTTACATCCAAAACCGATCCCTGAAAGTGTTAGGGGGGTTGGCAAGGGACGGGGGCGGTGCTGGGGCATGTCGCAAGGGACCGTTTCCAAGGAAAGACCAAGTTGTCTTCCTTAAACTCGCGGGAGCGGGGAGGGAATGGATGGAGGCAGGATGCTCTGGAGCTCAAGAGGAGTGTGCGAGAGGAACACGTGCAACACAGACCCTTCCCCGACCTGGGCCCAGCTCATTTCCCACTGCCACCTCGGTGTCCTCCCTCAGGACTTACAGGCTTGTCCTTGGAGGGCTGGTCAAGACTCTCAGCTTCCTCTGCTCTACACAGAGCTGGGAAGATGCCAAGCCTAAGAAATGCTCCGCTCTGGGGGCTTCAGGCACCCACAAATACTATAAGGAAAATAAGCTTTTAAAAAAATTCCACTATAACATAATAACGTCAGTAGCTTATTAAAGTTTTTGAAGTGTGGACATGGTATAACGAAGCCAAAAAGAAGTAGGTAATTACCGGTGTTTAGTACAGGAATAAAATACCCACAAGCATACATAAGCAAACCTGAACTATGGTAAAGAGGTTCTTAAAAATGGAGGGAAAGCCTATTTATATCAATTCTAAGATTTTTTTACTAAAAACATATGTAATAAATAAAAAAGATCAGATATATTTCAAGATGACTTCATCAGACATACTATTGCCTGAACCATACACTGTACACACATCCCTATAATTAATTCTGATTTCAGAAATTAAGAACTAAATTCTTCATTTAAATTAATGTAAAGCCAGATTATTTTGTGCTCTCTGATAATAGACAGTTTGCATTGTAGGGGTACCAGAGCACTCAGAAATGATGGCTAGAAAAAAACCCCACAAATTGTTTTTAAACTTAGCTTATTTATTTATGTAAAAAGATACATTCACTGGCGCACCTGGGTGGCTCAGTTGGTTAAGCGGCTGCCTACCGCTCAGGTCATGGTCCCAGGGTCCTGGGATCGAGCCCCTCATCGGGCTCCCTGCTCAGTGGAGAGCCTGCTTCTCCCTCTCCCCCTGCTTGCACAATCTCTCTCTTGCTATCTCTCTTTCTCTCAAATAAAAATCTAAAAAAAAAAAAAAAAAAGATACATTCACATGTTTAGCAAATCAGAAAATATAGAAAGACATAAAATGAACTTCTGCCTACTATGCCTCCATTTACCTGGTTTTTCTCAAAACAGGAAAATATTTTTACAGTTTATTTTTTATTCTACCAGAGATTCTTCATGTACATAACATCAAATTAAATATATTTTATTCCATTTGATACCATTACTCTGGAATTGCTTTTCTTTCATCGATTAAAATCTCCCATGGATGTCACACCCTATCTACATATTCGAACTTGCTCATTTTTTCAAAAATTTTATAAAATCCCTTTGTAAGGATGGATATTTATGGATGGAGGGATGTTTTCAAATAACTAGAAAAATAATCTCTTTGGCTGGATATTTGTTTCTTAAAAAATAACTCTGCAACGTATAATATTTTCCTACTGTAATTCTCACATGAACAATTACATTTATAGGATCAGGTCCTAGAAGTGGAATTACTGGGTCAAAAGGTAAATGCTCTCGTAATTTTGATAAACGTGGCCAAACTGTTTCCTCACTTCTTACTCCTGGAGTCTTGGTAGTGAAGGAGCCATCTTCCCAACATGAGAATTTAAGCTACTTCTGGAGGGTGGCAGGATGCAAAACAAAATGACTGAGTCCCTGTTCCTGGTCTCCTGTGTCAGCTCAGGGCCCAAGGTGCCCAGTTTCTTTTATGAGAACAAGTTTCATTCCATCTTTAACATATCTGTTACATGTTCATGTTACCTGTAACTGTTTTATTTTTAAACACAGCATAGTAAAACTAATGGTTGTTTCAAGCTTCCTTACTGAAATGATCAATGACAGAACAGACATTTTTTCAGTTTTACTGAGTGTGCCAAACATTCAGCCACATGTCTATCTCTGTGAATCAGCACGAATGGGCTGAGAATTGCATAACCAAGAATTAGAAACTCTCGAACAATTAATATGAAAGAATTATTCTCTAAGGAGGAATTTAAGCTTAACAAAATAATACAATCTGTCCAATAAGAGAAAAGAAAACAAAGCATCAGCAGGAGAACACTGTGAGCGGCTCTTATCTCAGGGCGTTTGTGGTAGAGAACCTTGGGTTTCTGCAGGTAGCCGGCATGCTTGTGCTGCTTATGGAGAACGCATACCGTGGAGACACTGGCCCAGCCCATGAGACCCAGAAACAGGAAATCTCGCAGGGCCATGAGAATGAGAAAAACCCACCTCGTTGTCTGGCTTGCTGGTAGAAAAACACAGTGGCCTTCACTTTCACCAATTTGTGACCCGTTTAGGCTGTTGATGTTTTTCATGTAATAGAGTAAGTTCATGCTGAGCAAGGAATTGAGTATCCAAAAGAAGAGGAAAAAGGGAAGGATATGCCATGTGGATGCTGGCTTGAAGCTGGCGCACACGGAGGCTCTGGGGCTGATGGTGGTGGCCTGGACCACAGTGAGGAAGCTGCTGGTGCAGATCGAGAGGCCCCGGGCCAGCCTCTCGAGGTACGCAAACATTTTACAGCCTGTATCGTCCGGGAAGTGTCTCAAACCGGACGTTTCTATTGTTTTTAGTGTTACCTTGGAAAAAAGTATTATGATATTTGTAAAAGCCAAGTGGATGAGAATTAGATGTATAGATTTCTTTTT